GCCAAAATAGACAAATGGGACCTAATCAAACTCCACAGCTTCTGCACAGCAAAATTAGTCATTAGAGTGAATCGGCAACCAAGAGAATGGGAAAAAAATTTTGCAGTCTACCCACATGACAAAGGGCTGATAACCAGAATTTACAAAGAACTAAAACAGATTTACAAGAAAAAAACAAGCCCATTCAAAAGTGGGTGAAGGATATGAACAGACACTTTACAAAAGAAGTCATACATGAGGCCAACAAATATACGAAAAAATGCTCATCACTGATCGTTAGAGAAATGCAAATCAAAACTACATTGAGATAACATGTCACACCAGTTCGAATGGTGATCATTAAAAAATCTGGAGACAACAGATGCTAGAGAGGATGTAGAGAAATAGGAACACTTTTACACTGTTGGTGGGAGTATAAATTAGTTCAACCATTTTGGAAGACAGTGTGGTGATTCCTCAAGGACCTAGAAAAAGAAATTCCATTTGACCCAGCAATCCCATTACTGGGTATATATCCAAAGGATTATAAATCGTTCTACTATAAGAACATATGCACACAAATGTTCACTGCAGCACTGTTTACAATAGCAAAGACCTGGAACCAACCCAAGTGTCCATCAATGATAGACCGGACAGGGAAAATGTGGCACATATACACCATGGAATATTATGCAGCCATCAAAAACGATGAGTTTGTGTCCTTTGTAAGGACATGGATGAACCTGGAAACCATTATTCTCAGCAAATCGACACAAGAACAGAAAATCAAACACCGCATGTTCTCACTCATAGGTGGATGTTGAACAATGAGAACACATGGACACAGGGAGGGGAGCATCACACACTGGAGTCTGTTGGGGGGAAATAGGGGAGGGACAGTGGGGATTGGGGAGCTGGGGAGAGATAGCATGGGGAGAAATACCAGATATAGGTGAAGGGGAGGAAGGCAGCAAATCATGCTGCCATGTGTGTACCTATGCAACAATCTTGCATGTTCTTCAAATGCTCCCCAAAACCTAAAATGCAATTAAAAAAATGAATAAAATAAAATAAAAATAAAAGAAATATGTGCCTTGCCTAAATAATATTTATTAAAGTTTGATATTTGAAAGCATTATCTTAGGAAGGTGTTCATAATTTATTTTCAGCATCTGAGTTTAGTTAATATTCAATTTTAGGGATTTGTCTGTTAACATATACCTTCAGCATGTTATAAATCCAACTTTTAGATATGTACTGTGTTAAGTGGAGCTCAGATGTTAATACAGTGAGTACAATAACATCATTGCTCTCTGCATAATTGAAGCTTTGAAAGTCCACATTTCAAAGCCACAATTTCTTTGGTTCTTGGCCATGACATGCCTGACTCTGTCACATGAACTATTTTCCATTGTCTCACTTTAATATGCAAAAAGTAAAACATTTAAATTGTCCAGTGGCATCTGGATTATTTCTCTCCTGACACAGCATTCAATGTTGTGACCTTCTTGTCTGTAGTGAGAAAGGAAGGATCAATGGAGATTGAAACAAAGAACCAACAGAAACAGAAATCTGAACTACTACTTCTTTGTTTGAATTAACTTATAAATTCCCATCACTACCATATAGAAATAATATATTCATTTAAGTTTTTTAAGTCTTTTATTCAAAAACCCTTTTGTTGAGTCTCACCTAATGTATCAAGAATTGTGCTAGGAGCTGGCAACTTTGTGTGTGTGTGTGTGTGTGTGTGTGTGTGTGTGTGTGTGTGTAAATGAAAAATAGTAATAATTTGAAAAAACAAGACAATAATTTTTAAAAATGTGGGGAGTAGTGGAGGGGGTCATAATCCAAGGACTAAAGCAAGGACATCAAACAGACCATTTTAATCAATTACCGAATGTCATCATTCATCAAAACCTCCTCCTGCCATCTTAACAATACTCCTCCACCCTGGACCATACGAGATTCTAATTTTGTCTTAAATTGACCACAAGATTAATAAGAAAATACATAACTGTCCTGTTAATAATATATTCCCACTTGAGTCTATTACTACTTTTTAAAAATATCTTGACACAGCCAAAAGAGAGAAAAAAATGAGAGATTCCTTGAACTGCTATTCTATCAGCAGATATTCTCATCTTAAAGATTAATGTTATTATATACCACATAAGAGTCAAAAGCACAATGGCAGGTTTTGGGAAAGAGCCAAGTCAACCCTCAGAAAGATGAACATGAGGACTTTACAGTAAAGAAAAAGAGAAGAGTACAGGGTGCTGTATAAAAGGTGAGTGATAATATACAAAAATGCAGTAGTTTTGTTGGAAGCATGCTGTTTTTTGTTTTGTTTTTTTTTTTTTTTAGCATGGACAACAGGCTTTCATGCTTTGTTGATTCATGGGCACACTAAAAGTGTGAAGCTACATGTTTGTGCCAGCTCATCCATGGGTCTGGGCCCAGAATCTAATCTCTCTCTTCATCACTCAGGGCCCATGATACTATCTTATCAGTCCATGCCATACCCCAAATTACCCCTTAGCTGCCATAGAAATAGCCTGCAAGTTTTCCCAAAAAGTTTATATCTCTTTATTTTTGTAACTAGAGATCTCTTTCACTATATATGTATGTATATATGTATGTACATATATATTTCACTATATATAGTGTGTTCATGACATATAACTATGTATAATATGTATATTATTATATGTCATATATATGTCTTACCAATATTTAAAAATATTACTAGAAGTAAAAATTGGAGGTTAGATGGGAGTTGGTGGTGGTTGTCTACATTAGTCAGTTTGCCTTGTGGTTTATCTACCTGTGTGAAAATTTTAATATTCTTCATAGTAAAGTAGTAATAATAATGCCTGTTTCATATCAGATTAACTCCTATTGACACTGGAACAAGGTTGTGATCCAGAACCCAAGACTTGGACCTCACACAGGAAATAATGTCAAGGCAATTCATAGAGTAAAGTGAAAGCAAGTTTATTAAGAAAGTGAAGAAATATGGAAACTTCATATTTCTTCAAGAGGCAGAGCAGCCCCGAGGGCTGCTGATTGCCAATGTTTATAATAATGTCTTGATTATATGCTAAATAATGGTGAATTATTCATGAATTTTCTGGGAAAGGGGTGGGCAATTTGGACCTGAGAGTTCCTTCCATTTTTAGACATATAGGGTAACTTTGTGACTTTGTTATGGCATTTGTAAAATGTCATGGTACTGGTGGGAGTGCCTTTTAGTATGCTAATGCATTATGATTAGTATACAACGAGGAGTGAGGATGACTAGCAGTCGGTCACCCTCACTGCCATTTTGGTTTTGGGGTTTTGGTCAGTTTCTTGACTGTAACCTATTTTATCAGCAAGGTCTTTGTGACCTACATCGTGGGCTGACCTCCTATCTCACCCTGTGACTGTGAATGCCTAAACTGGGAATGTAGCTCAGTAGATCTAAGCCTTATTTTACCCAGCCCCTATTCAAGATGGAGTTGTTCTGGTTCAAATGCCCATGACACTATTACCTAACAAGCCTCAGGGGAAATGAGAGTTTTATCAGAGACAAATTTGTTTTTACCATTATGTGGGGAAATTAAATAGAGGTATAGGTAATTTGAGAAACACAAAAATCTACATTGCTATGGCAACAATTCTAAATACAGAAAGCTGGTGCAGAAAGAAAGATGGCAAGTTTTATCAACAGAGTGAACAGACAACCTATAGAATGAGAAAAAATATTTGCAAATTATGCATCTGACAAAGGGCTAATATCCAGCATATCTAAGGAACTTGAATTTATAAGAGAAAAACAACCTAATTAAAAAGTAGGCAAATGACATGAACAGACATTTTTCAAAAGAAGACATACATTGCAGCCAACGAGCATAAGAAAAAAGCTCAATATCACTAATTATTAGAGAAATGCAAATCAAAACTGCAATGAGATACCATCTCACACCAGTCAGAATGCTATTATTAAATAATTTAAAAATAACAGATTGTGGTGAGATTGTAGAGAAAAGGGAAGACTTATGTAGTTAGTGAGAGTGTAAATTAGTTCAACCATTGTAGAAAGCAGTATGATGATTCCTCAAAGAGCTAAAGGCAGAACTACCATTTGAACCAGTCATCCCATTACTGGGTACATACCAAGAGGAATATACATTTTTCTTCCATAAAGACGCAAACATGTGAATGTTTATTGTAGCACTATTCACAATAGTAAAGACATAGAATCAACCTAAATGCCCTTCAATGACAGATTAGAAAAAGAAAATGTGATACATATGCACCATGGAATACTATGCAGTCATAAAAAAGAATGAGATCATGTCTTCTGTAGGAACACGGATGGAGTTGGAGGCTATTATCCTTAGCAAGCTAATGCAGGTACAGAAAACCAAATAGCCACTACTCCCACATGGGAGCTAAATAATGAGAACTTAGGAACACAAAGAAGGAAAGGACAGACACTGGGGTCTACTTAAGGGTGGAGGGTGGGAGGATGTGAGGACGGAAGAGGAGTAGAAAGGATAACTGTTGGGTACTGGACTTAATACCTAGGAGATGAAATAATCTGTATTAAAAAAATCCTCATGACACAAATTTACCTATTTAACAAACCTTCATATGTGCCTCCAAACTAAAAGTTAGAAAAAGATGGTAAGTTTCAAAAAAGGATATTTTCTACACCAGAGTAACCTAGAGTATATTTCCTTTCCTGAAAACTGTCATGATAGACATCATGTCAGTTCAAAAGAAACTAGTCAGACATATCTTTGTATTGTAGTGTTCAAAATATATCATGAAACACATTAGCTCCTAGAAACAGATTGAGTGTAGACAAAAAAGTATATCACAATGAAATTTATAAATTAGGCAATTACATTTGAAAACCGATATGTATTTTTTTGTTGGGAGTGAGTGTAGTCTAGGAGGAAAGGGAGAATGCAAACAGATAATTGATGACCATCGTTAAATGTAAACATATTAATGCCTCTCTTTTGTAGGAGTCACAGATGAAAGCAATGAAAGAGACTGTGCAACTCTGCTTGACATCCGTTTTCCGTGATCAGCCTCCTCCTCCTTTGAGTTTAATCACGTCAAATCCAACTCAAATGTTACTCCCACCCGGGAATATTGCCTCTAAACTTCCAAATGCCAGGACCAAAAGCAAGGTACCTACCTTTTATTTGTGTTTTGTAAATTAACAGCAAGTAATGTGTTGTCTTTAAAGCCCTATGTATATAATCACCAGAGTGGATCCAAGTATGATAACAAATTCATTGAAAGATTAGAAGGAAAATGGAAGGTAGAAACCCCGTTTGTAAAATCTCCATAGTTACTATAAGAATGCTTGAAGGGAGCTTTCCTTTCGTAGAGAATCTAGCTGTTTCTTAGGTAGAATCATCTAATTGTTTAACAAAAAACAAAAGCTAATAATGTTGGAATAAGTTAAAAGAAAATATCCTGTATTACATTGCAATGAAAACATAGGTTTGATATGGAGAATATTTTCTTTGGGGTTATAAGTATCTTTACAAAAGTACTTTTTTTTTTTTTTTAAAGTCTGCAACTCTCAACACTGGCTGCACATTAGAATCTTAGTGTACATATTTTTAAAAGTATGCTCAGGTATATTTAAATTTCAAAAAGCCTGACCCAGGGGATTTTTTTTCCCCCAGACCTATTAAATTAGATTTTTTTTTTCAGGTTAGACACCAGTTAATCAGTAATTTTTCAAAGTCCCAGTGTATTTTAATTTATGTTCAGGTTTAAGAACAACTCATTTGAGCAAATCATCTTCCAAATTCCCTTTAACAACCTGTTTTGGATAAAAACAAAGAACGTTTAATGGTGCTTTTGTTTCAATCTTCAAAAACTTTTATTTGTAGGTTCTACATTGAAATACATCCTGATAGCCAGAAATTGTCTTTGGAGAAAGGAGTTTTGTTTTGGGCGGTATGTTTGAAAGATCTAGTTCTCTGATCACTTGTCTTAGCATCACTTGTTATTAAAATGAGTGCTGTGGATACCAGCCTGACTTCTAAATGCAAATCTCAAGGGTCCAGCACAGAAAACTTAAGAACCACTAATGCAAATACCTAATCATGTGTTACATCTGGCTTCCTTACTGCTTATTTCTGAGATTTTCTATTTTTGAACTAAAGTGGGTAGATTAGGGAAATGCTATTTTCAGGATGGAGAGTCAGAAATAAGTGGAACAAAATAAATCTTCTGATGTACTGTTATCTGTAATTAGTCAACTTATGAACGATAAAGATGTAGTCTGTATGAGATCGTTGTGTAATATTAATGTTTTGCTTTTAAAAATTATTCAAAACAATGTATTTTAACTTTATTATATTTTTATTTATTTTCATATGTACTGAAGGACCTCTAAGAATTTTGAAGCCAATATTTTTTTCATTAATTTTGTTCTGCCTCTTCACTAAAAAGTAAAGATTCAGAGTTTTGTTTACTTAACAAAACTCAGGCGAAATAAGTACATGATCATGTATTTTTTTAATGTTCATCATGAAAAATTTTGGTAATTTCTTTGAAACTTGTCATTCATGAAACGCACAGCTGCACAGTCTTACCCATCTACCAGAAAACCACACCCTTAGTCCACTTAGTGTTAAGTCTCCAGAGGAGGAAAGGTTGTCTCATTAAGACTTTGGGCAAAACAGCTTTTTAATTCTATGGACACATTATATTTGTTTCCAACTCAAAATATTTTTGTTTAAAATCATTATTAAAACTAGACTTTCTTTTTACATATGTTTGATTACAGAAACTAATATTCTCTAAATAATGTGGAAAAAAAAACAGCTAGACTGTTTTTGACCTTGAATATGTGGAGGAAATTACTGGTTGTTACTGTAACTGGTTTTCTATGAATAAATGTCTGCCTTGTCTTTGAAATAAATAATATAAATATTTATTATTTCTCTTGGCTTATCACAGGAAAAAAGAAAATAGTTTAGATGAATGTAGTTTGGCGATTGCCCATTTTTAAACAAACAATAACAGAAAAAGGCATATGTTTAAGATAGAATTTAATAAAACTAATATAGTGTACTATAGAACATTCTGTTTTACAAAGATGTTCATTAAAAGTTTAGATGGTATTTATGTTTTACTCATTTATCTTTTTAATAGTGGTGAAAATTATATTTTATGTATGCTTGGGACTTAATTTCTAAGCAGTCCCCTCATGGATACTATTTTAAGAATCTTGAATAATATAATGTGATATGGGTGTATATAATAAGAACAAACATTTCAGTCATGGAATAATTATTTTCTGTATCCTAAAAAGACAACTTGTAAATGAGGACATTTGAATCGCTTCAAATTCTTCAGTTGACTAGTAATAGCCACAAGTGATATGCAGTGCCTGTTGAGAGTTGTGAGACAACTCTATCACATGACATTTCAGTGTCCTCAGTTTTCTTAGTGCTAAATTCAGAGTGTTATTGTGATGTGAGTACTCAAAATAGTAATTCATCTAATTTTCCATAGTATCTGGCCATCTTCATCTACTTTCATTTGGTTTTTAAAATTAGTCAATTCTTATTTTAGAGAGATCTTTGCTTTTTCCTGATGTGATTTCTTACATTTCCTAGAAAGCAATTTTCAACTCACATATACAAAATGACAAAATAGTGCCCCAAATTTGTTATTCATTTTTTCTTCCAGCAGATTGGTTAGTGAAGCCTAATTTTTTACTCCAGTGCATGCATGTGTCCATATTTATGTGTGTGTGTTTATGTGTATATATTTGTATATATGTACATAGGTACATAAACATGCATACAAATATTGTATATAACATACATATACATACAAACAACTATTTTATATGTATAATTTTACTATATTCACAATTATATATATAAACTATTTTATATGTATAATTTTACTATATAGTAGAATTATACATATTTTACTATATATAGTAAAATTATACATATAAAATAGTTTATATATAATATATATAAACTATTTATATATAAACTATAATATATAATAGTTTATATATGTATGTATATATATATGTGTATATATATATATAATTGTGAATTTTAAAAGCCACAGGTTCACGAAGGGAATAGGATAAAATTGCATGTGTTTACAAGAAAAAGGTTAAAAATAATTTATATATTAGTACCCCCACCATTTAAACTGTTTTGTGTTTATTATGGTGCATACCTGTTACATACACTATTAGAGACATAGCTTAAGTTTCTGCTGAGGGCCTTGAACCAAGTCTATCAGATACTTTTTCATCACTGCCCCTTTTACATTTGAGATGCCTGTTTCTTTCTAATTTGAGTGAATTTGTTTTTATCCTCCCAGTTAGAATTATTTTTTCCTCCCTCAGTGCTTTGACAGCTGAGTGTTTACCACTCTTGGCCCTTGGTCATCCCTTGAATACAGTTATGTCTGCATGTGTCTCCCTTCTTCAGAGAGATGACGTGCTTAGGTCATTGATCTGTTTACCATTAGTGTCCAGAATGTTTCTAGAAGATTCATTTGAAATGACACTGTTGTATGCCCTTCTTCTTCTTCTTACAAACTTCACTTATTTGTAAGTTAGAAAATTATATATTACTGTTTATTTAGTGCTTTGTATTCAACTACATTGGTTTTCTTCTGTTTGCCAGTACTCTGCTGTTAACTAAGAGAGCAAATTCGAAATGACACCGTCCTGAACTTTTGGAGATCACAGCCTAATTTATAAGAAACAACAATAAAAATGCAGGATTTGTTCTTAGTAGTAGATCAGGTCATCTTTTGTTTGTTTCCTTGTTTGTTTTCCAGATACTTGGATATAAATACACAGATGATGTATCTGTTATGTCTTTGTTATGATATTACATATTTGTTATATAGAAAATAATATTCTTTCAAAGATATAAAGAGCCAAGGTAGAAACCAGGTGACCTGATCTACATTTTGGATAAAATTAACCCAACTAAAATAAAAACAAACAAACCATGTGACAATCTTCTAACCTATGTAGGAGAGGATGATGACCTGCTTTATGTCAATGACACTGAAAATATGATTTGAAATGTTACTGAGTCATAAAATTGTCATGACTTAGTGACTAAATGGGAAGCATGAAGGGAAGAAATCAAGAATAACAGTGCTTGCATTCATTCATTATGATGTAAAAGGCAACAGCAGATTATAAAGGGAAGCAAAGCTGGTTTGTTTTTAACCTGCTGTGTTTTGAGTTTCTGTCATAAAACAAAGTACCCACATCCAGTAGATGATTATATATTTAAATCTGGAACTGAGGGAAGACAATCTGAATAAAGATATTAGGTTAGATATCATCACTAAGGTTAGATATCATCACCATGAATAGGAGTTAAATACTGGAATAAATAAAATTATCTGAATAGATGGTATAGAGTGAAAAGAGATGAGGACTACAAAGACACTAGGCATGAGAAGTAACATGAGTATGGTTTTATTTGCAAGCTAATAGATGGAATGTTTTTGATGAAAGTGCATTTATTCCCATTATTTTTGCTGAGATCCTCTCTAATGTATATTTAAGCTGAGAACCGTGACTTTTCTATGCCTATTTTACTAGTGCAAAAAATAGAGCATGCATGTCATTGTGTATATTTAGAATGACAAATACTCCAGTGGTCTGTTGGAGCTGGCTCCTATGTGCTTGCAAAAGTTGACTGTTACGTTTACAGAATTTGTACTATTCAACTGTTAAATAGAGGCATTATTAAATATTTTATATATTTGCATATTAAATAAATTATATTGATGGCAATGTGGTAAATACCAAAGCTACTATATAGTGCTATAATCAATCTATGTTCTTAAGGATATTGTATATTTTGGACTTGTATAGTGGAAATACTATGTAATAGTGTATTACTGCATATCTCTTTGCAATTTGTGTTCAATGACATCATGTTAGTAGGTTGAAATTGGTAATATTTATACCGTAGAAATTTACAAGCACTATAAATCTGGGTCCTCCTAACCCACAGAGCTAGTGAATAGCATGCAGTGTGTCTGTGTGTGTGTGTGTGTGTGTGTGTGTGTGTGTGTGTGTAACATTTAAGATAGGATTACTGGGCATTATAGATAATATACGAAAAGTATGTGACTAACATTTATTCTACTGCTGTGTGGT